TCGATTTCACATTTTACAACTACTGTATTCAAAATAAGCATGGATAATTAATCATAAAATGTTACTCAGTCGAATTTATTTCGAGAAAGAGATAGTAGTAGTTTATGTGTTTGTTTGCGTCTGCTGATATGTGAAACATTGTGTACGAAATATCCTGGCTGAAACGTGAAAAATCAGTGACGCTTGATTTATCTACGCCAGATACTTTTGTCAATTAAAAATGAAACAGAAGAATTATTTCCAGTGTTAAGATCAAACTTTCCAGTTTATCTTTGCGTAAACGTTTATGAAAGTCACAATAACGCTTTGTGACTTAAAGAGAATGAAATTCAGAGCGTAAGTATAGGATGACATTTTCGAAAGTTCCGCATTTTGCAAAAACTGATAAAAAGATATTCCATACAACTATGATGACCACTAGCTATCGTTACCATAAAATTTTAACAAAGGCAATATGAAAGCATCCGTGTAGGATCTCATGCATTAACGGAAACTAGTCAATTCTATCCATTCAGCGACGAGGCAGGTACATCCAACTGACGAGCACCAAATTGGGAGACACGTGCATTCTAGGCTCCACTGCTACCCAGTATCTACGCTTTGAATTCCAATCGAGTGTCTGACGCGTGATGGTCTTCTCAGTGTATGCTCAATCCATCTCAATTTCTTCTGCATATTTGTTGGACGATAGGTTCTTGATTGGTTCATTGCCAGGCCAGAGTGAGTTTCTTGTTCTTATTCTTCTGGCCATCTACTCTTCGGTATCAAGAGAAGGTGAGTAGCTGTTGATGAATTTCTGTGGTTTGCTGGAAGTGCTTTTCGTGACGCGCTAACTTTCTGAACCATATAGAGGCACTGACTTGACTGAATTAGTGTTGAAAATCCGGGTTTTGTTCACGATTTGTGCTGAGTGCAATGCAGTAGATCTCCACACTGATTATTTCAGGTCAATGAAGGTCTGTCTTGCTGTCTTTACGATACTGGCTGCTTTGACACCCTCATCTCTGCCGCCACCTGTAGTCGAAACGACACTGCTTTGTCTAGGTAGATGAAAGGGACTACTTCCCTTACATTTTTCCCGTTCATGATTGGGGCTTGTTGCTGATATTGTTGGTTGGGTATCTTCGTCACCTCTGTCTTCTGGAAAATTCACTTAAATTGCTGTCTTCGATGCCTCGCCTCTTCTGTCAAATTGTAAGTTTTCGCCTGTAGATCGTCGAGTTTGTGCGACATTAAACATAAATCATCATCGTGGGCGAAATCCAAATCCTTAAGGTCTTTCCATCGGTCAAACAGCGTATGCTTCTCTTCTCCCTCCTCACAGTTAGCTGCATAATCCAGTCTACCACAATCAGGAAGATCATTGGTGATATTAGGTGGCAGTCTTGTCTTACTCCTATCTTCACTTCAAAGGCGTCACTGAGCTTTCATTATGAATCACTGGGCTTGTGGCGTCATCATATAGCTGTTTAATGAGGTTGATAAAGATTTGTGGTATTCCGTAGTGTTGAAGCAGGTGTCTGCCAAATTACTTATGGGTCGACGTAATTGAAGGCCTTTTCAAAGTCGATGAAGTTGAGGTGAGGAGTTGACTGCCATTCTATGCTCCGTTCTATGATGGTGCATAGCACAGGGTTGAAATTTGATCCACAAATGATTTGTTCTTCCTGAATCCAGCCTGTTCCGGTTGAATTTTGAACCTAGAGCATTTTTAGTCTCCTTCTCCAGGATGACGTGGTCCAACATTTTGCTTGGGGTGGATAGAAACAGAAACATGATTCCGCGCCAGTTCTTGGAAAAACTTAGGTCGCCCTTCTTTGGGAGTTTGACAAGGCAGCCATTCTTCCAATCAGTGGGCGAGTACCTTTCCTTCCTTTCTTCCAAACAACCCACTGCAGCAGTGGTGTGAGCGTGTCTGCTGTTGTCTCTGCATCTGTTTTACGGGCCTCTGGTGGAATTCCATCTGTTCTTGCTGCTTTCCTGCATTTCATCAACTTTATGGCTTTCAGGACTTCACTTCTGCTTTTGTAGGACGGCTTGTGTTCATAGGTAATTCTGTGGCTGGTCTGCTGTGGTATTTCTAGATGAAGTGCAGGTGGTGGTCGTTTCAAGAGTTTTTTGAAGTGGTCGGCCCACTGCTTCCTTCGTTTCTCGTCTTTGTTAACTAAGTTTCCTTCACTATCTTTTACTGATTTCATCTGCGTTGATCTCTTCCCAGATAGTAACCTGGTTATTTGATACAATGTTGTCAGATCTCTCTTACCTGCAGCCTGTTCTGCTTCACTTGCCAATGTGTCGTAGAAGTGTCTTTTGTCTTTCCACTCACTCTTCTTCACTTCTTTGTCCAGTGTAACGATTTATACGTCGTATTCAGTTCTTCTTTTCACTGTTCATCCTTGCAGTGCACTGGTTTATCTTCTGCTTCACCATCTTCCTCTCCCTTCTTTATCAGCCTCCATATGTGCGTCAAGATCCATTCCTCGTCGCGCTTCTTCTTCCTTCTTTGCTTATGTGGTTATGCAGGTTTCTTTCCACGTCCCTTTTTAAGAGTTCAAGTATTTTTCCATGCAGGTCTTTTCAGTGATGCTGCCCAATGTCTCCCGTTTCGTCCTGATGGCTGACGTGAAGATATTTTTTGTAGTTTTATTCTTCAGTTTTTGTTCTGGATGTTGAACTTGAATTGTAGTCTATCACCTACTTCTGTGAATGCTTTCAACTTGATTTGGAAGGTAGATTTCTTGCTTTTCTTCGTCCAAGTCTCAAATTTAAAATGTCAAATTCATTGTTTATGTCGTGTTTCACGGTGAACTCAGTATTCATGTGCAACAATATACAATGAGTTCATCGTATTCTGTGAAAATTCTTGTTCTATCTTTGCTAAAATTTTAACCCATCACTAAAACCTACCCTTCAAAACAACAGAGAGCCTGATTCTACTCGTGTTTGAAACACTATTGGAAGGTTTCAAATATTCGAAACCATTTTCTAATAAACATCAGGAAAGTACTTTGAATGCTGCCACTATCTTGCACTATAATATTGTTTTCAGTCAGGGCAAAGGTGATAAGTATGTTTACTATGTCTTTCAGATAGACATTGTATAAATAATCTCGACATGGGACCTGGCATTTCTGTGGCGGTTCAAGCTGCCGCACCTCATATCAGCGCATCAAGAAAAAATACACCATGAAATATAAATAAATAAAAGGGGAAGTAATTTAAAGTGGTTGAAAATTTTAGAAATAGAATTAGGAGCAATGAGACAATAATTAATCTTATTATGACTATTGACATGATGTCTGGAAATATCTGCGCTTTTGTGATCCATACTGAACCACCCACCTACAGTCTCAAACTGTTGGTTTCTGTTGTCTTGCAGAAGTCTACGCTTCCATACACGGCATTGACTAACAATCGAAACATCATCAGCTGATGTATTTTTTATTCAGACCACCTCTAACGTTTGTTCATCCCCGGCTTATAGAAATGGCCACCAGATGGCAGACGGCGAAGTGGTCAGGTTCACAGTGATATTCAGATTTCCTGATTGAAAAACATACTTTGTTCAGTCAGCTAGGCAAAACTTGATTTCATTCCGGATACTAAGAGTCAGTGAAGAGTAGGCCCTAAATGTGAGCAAACCATTGTCTTGCTGCTAATAGAAGATATTTTGTATTCTGTTCTTGCTTCGCATATTTGGATAGTACATTCAAAATCATAAAGAAGTTCATTGGGGAAAATATCACTTATTTAATTGCGAAGGACTTATAGAATTATCCTCGGGTTAAGGATCTTTAGATGATCAACATGTACTTGAGTCATACTAATAACTCACATTTAGCACAAATTTTTTTACATTTAAAATAACACCCGGTTTCCGCGCCAGCCTCATTATTTGAGTCTCAAGTGGTACGCTAACCGTACAATATTCGGAAAATTTAAAGGAATATAGTTAGTTTGAGCGGAGGTTCTTTCTAGCCGTTGATATAGTTTTAAAGTTAACAATGCAGAGCACTTATTAGTGTCAGTATAACCAGTTGCGACCATATGCAGTAGATATTTTGTTAAAAACTATGCAGTGGTCAAAACGTTTTTGAAATATGTCTAAGGCTTACTTCTAACAGCTGTAACCCTCAAATACTTAGACCTAAATGATAACTGGTTGACGTTCAGTGAGAAATCTTGAAGGATCCAAAACAGCATGGTAACTCATAATTTATCATTCATAAAATACTTTGTATGAAACACCGTGAAGAATCTCATGCAGGTGTAATCCAAGAATGCTAAGCACAAAAAGGCGTAGATATAAAGATTTCGCACTAATTATTTAGAAGTAAAAATGTCAAGGATCTAGATTTCGCTGCTGTGCAAGAGATAAGGCTTCTCTCAGTAAAACTTAGTATGATACGCCATTCTGAAATAACATGAAGTTGATTAGGGGTATTGTGTAAAAGAATAATTTTGTATTACCTTGTTTGCTTTTAATAGCTCATAATAACACAATACCATTCAATGAATGAAGTTTTCGGGAAGGCTTATTGTCTGTAATCATATTAAAATTATCACCAAACATCAAGATGTTTATCTCATATTCCAGTAATCCTAAATTCTTTTTTCTCTACTGGTAGTTGAAATCAACAAACATCAGCAACACGTGTTAAAATGTTTCTGCTACGCAAACTAACGGTCGATGAGAGATGAATTAAGGTTTTTAGCTGCAGTTCCAAGGAAGTATGAAAATACCATCCCATGTATAGTTATATCGTAAGTTTCAACGGGTAGTCTGCCAAGAATAAAATGTGTTGTGAACGTTAGGTAATTTTTACGATCAATAAAGATTGAACAAAAAGTTATTATGCCACAAGATGGTAGATTAAAAGCAATATGATAACCTTGATATGACTACCGACAATGAATAGTGTCAAAAACTTTATTCATTTAATGATATTGCATTATTATGTGCTATAACAGAAAAAAACACTCAGTTAATTAATTTATTACGAACCAGTTATCAAATGAATTCTTTCGAGATTATCAAAAGTACTTTGAATAAAATACAAAACTTGTCTAATTAATATAATGATGAACTGGGTTTTTATTCTATTGAATATTTGTTATGCATACAAAGTTACTTATTGTATTTTCTTGAATTAAGTGGCATAATTTGGATTTTCGCGGTTACGCAGCTGGCAATTTTAAGGTGTAGATCAATAAAACGGAATGTAATTTAGCAGAATTATAATGATATTATGTGGAATCTCATCATATATAGAAAAATCTTTCAGATTCAGTTTTTCTACATCGGAATATTGAGGAACAGGGTTAGAAAATACACATTTTCACACAAAATGTTATATGTTAAACACATTATTTTCCATTAACTTTAATGTATTAATAATTTCGATGATTGTGGACATTCTACAAACATATAGGTGTACAAGTCAACTGATACAAGCTAGTACCATCTGGTTACCAGCTTTGATTTTAAACAACTGTTTTGCCAGAATTCAGAAAATATGCAGAATAGGAATGACCTATACCAGTCATTGACTTGATAATTTATCTTAGAATGTAACGAAGACCTCTCTTATTTTATTATATACATATCAGTTAATTATACTATTGTTCAGCTTGGATTTGTAGGGTGTAACTAAGCTTACCTGCCGGTTGTTTCAAACCTTATAAACTCATAAAGCTGCACAACTGTAACTGTAAACAATACTTAAATCAACGTCTTAGTCTAAATCAGAGAATTGTGGTAAATACTTTTTTTATTCGGTTTCGAATTCATTTCTTATGGTCTCTTGGTAAATGTGAATACGGTTAAGTTACAGCCTGACGTCATTTAGGAAAGTAGTATCTCTATCATGTCTGAACGTGGAGTAAGGTATAAAAATCTATTTTGTGTCGTTTCAAACGCTCTGGAAGTTGAAGTGACTGGTCCCAAGTTTAGGGTTTATTGGAAATAGCATTGAGTCCTACATAGGATGAAATGCGCATCCTGGATTCTGCTGCTAGCCATTATCTATCACTAATATAAAACACTTTAGTTTAGTTATAGAATACGACGAACTACTTGCTAAGAATATTTTACTAAGAATCGGACGAAAAACATAATCTGAATGGCTGATAATCGATGCATCGTTTATCAAATAAACACACTAATACTAACTAGTCTAGAGAAAAAAAATACTAACGAATGATGATATTTCTGTTCTTAAAATAAAAGTTAAAACACACTTAAGATATTTTTCCGAACTTTCGTCCTATGCAACTACGTCAATACTACATATAAAGCTAATGATGAATAGACTTTCGTGCATAATTTTCGTTTGGACAAATGTTCTTGCCTGTATGAAGTGTGCTGTTCTATCCTTTTATTCTTAGACTCTTTTTTCAAAGTACATTCGTGTTTTTTTTTTACTTCAAGAATAGGTTTGTTGTATTTGCTGTATTATCACTGGTATTTCAGTCATTCTAAAATGTAATAAGAAATTTCAATAGAAGTTTGAAGGTGACTGAGATTCAATTCTCAACTTAATTTTAGGCTGACAACCGCAAGCTACTTTAGCTCTCAGCACTTTTTGAACTGAAGAGTTAGACTAACTCCACCATCTTCTTATATGATAACTGTAATTTAACCCTGCAGAGAAAAAACAGAGATCATGAGCTTATAACTTGAGTCTACTAGACTACTATCATTACAACGACAGATTAATATGAGTGACAAATTCTTCAATTGATTTTCATAAATAAGGTTTGATTATACTTGATATAAGAGTAAGAACTAAATAACGTGGTAGATTTCTTTTGACCTGGCAATTTGACTACAGGGGATTTTATGCTCACATCAGACAAGCACTCTATCACCCTAACTATTAATTTCTTATGATTTCAGTATTTTACTTGCCTAAATAAACAGAAGTAGAGAATCTAGAATAGTATGGCAGCTGATTTGAAATAGGTACTACAACATACAGAAGCTATTTTGCATGATTGCTGCTTCTGATAACAGCATTTTTCCCTAACTTTGTACGACTTTATTAAGTACTCTTATGATTCATATCTGATGCAAAAAAGAAACAGATACTTCAGTTATAATTAATTTATTGATTTATTATCTTTTTAATATCGATTAATAATATGGTCATATGAAAATTTCAAGTAATTTGAAAACCTGGAATAACAGAACCTGTAATACGGATTGTGACATCAGAACTGATTTTCTGAAAGGTTTTTAAGTGATTTTTACATGCTCTGAAACAATCCATTTTGAGGTTTAAAATAAACCACTGATTCTACAGGTAATAATCCTATGTTATTGCTAGTATGTGAAGTGACTGGTCTTTGGTTTCAATCTTACTGAGAACAAAATCACTCAGTGGGAGGTAAGTGTATCCAGCTGACGAGTCCTAAGCATGATGAAACGAGCATCGTGGATTCCACTGATAAGGATTTTGCTGATGAGGTCATTTTTACTCAAAAAGCTTAAGTTATATATACTTGAACTCACTTTTGCCTTCAAGGAACATAAAGCTTCTTTCCAGGTCTTTTTCTTTGATTTTTTAATGGGGAGTTCCAATTTTCCTGTAGCCATCTAAAAGACGTTTGGGAACAAAAACATTATAATTACTATGGAGTAGTGGAAATAAGTATGAAAGATCAAAATACGACTGACCTTTTGAACCTTTTCAATTAATTTGGTTTCAACTAACTTTAAACATTTCATAAAAGTAACCTGTAACCTCACTGGAAAAACTATGACTCCATTAAGGTAGTTTCATGCCATTCCCTAATCACATACTAGGTATCAACATGAAGAAACCTACTCGGCACAGTTAAGTGGTTTGTTCATTTGAACTACTTTCAAGGAAGTTTTGAGAAGTAATAAGCAAAAGCTGGTTGGGCCCATTTATGCAAATGACAGTGATCCTTCACTTGGCCCCACTGGATTCCAAGCAATACACCGTATCAGTTGACTTAGCTGTAAACGCAGTAGACGAGATTTTTTTTAAGTACTTTCCAGGGACACTAATGTCCAAAGCGTGGACTAGCAAGTAAACTGTCAGGACTCTGCCCAGTTACGTAGATTTTGAGGGCAGTGATGCATAAAAAAGTTAAAGGAGTCCATCTTCCTAGTCCCAGTAGTCACAGTAGTTGAAGCATGTGCAAGATAAGTGTTCGTGGTTTACTTTGTAAAAATGAACGATATTCTGTTCGGAATTTCGGGTGTCGTTTGCTGTAGCCATGGCTGAATGAAAACTGGGTCAGCTGAGAGCGCATCTCTGTTTGAAGGGTCCCAAAACAGTGGTGGGTGATACCATCCGGAAACGTGTACTTCGTCACTACTTGCAAGATTGTGGATAATCAGTGAGACTTATTCTACACACATCTGCTGAGCCAATTACCTTGCAAACGCGGAAACGTTGAAGCGTGACAGTTGGGGGGGGGAGATTCACTAATGAATTTTATGGAACCATTACCCAGAATCCTCTTGCAAGGATATTAGTTTTCAAACGGCTGGGCTACGAATAAATGATTTCTTCTCGGTAAACAAACTGATCTACCAAGTTACTGGGACGATAACGTTTAAGTAGGCGAATTTCCAGCTTAACACTGTGAGCTGAGCCAAAAATTGGAGCTAATTAAAACTTGAAAGTTCATTAAATGTAATTTGGGAATTTTTGAAGTTATAACGCTAACTAATAGTGTGAAAAATTCAATTACTGGTTCAGGCTGTTTGAGTAAGCGTTACAAGGAAATGACATTCAAACTTTAAATGTGTACAGTAATCAAAATTAGCTTTTAATCTATCACTATGTATATCTCTAAGAATAAATGTTATAGAAATTACTAGTGTGTTTACTGGAAGACAACATAAGCAACTGCGAGTTAGTGTGGTGTTTATGAATAGAATTTAACAAAAGTTGTGCAGCTAAAAAGGTTTAACTTCATGTTCACTTCCTAAACTTTAAAATTTAATCACTACTTCTAACTTGTTTTTTGGGCGACTTTAACAACAATCGAAATGGCCAGTCAGGTTTTTCCATTTGGTCTGGAAATTTAGCTTTTCATAAAATACAGTTTTTGCTAGAGTGGCCTTTAAAGTTACTTGTTTTTCATGCTGTCTTTATTATATGATGAAGATTGCAGTCACCTCTTTGATGCATTGCGTTAAAATCCAAAATCTCACTTTCACATGCTTTCAAAAATTTTTATGGATTAAATTCACATGTGACCTGGTTCACAAGCAGGTTTAAATTAAAATATTAGGTACCCTAGTAAGAAATAAACAAAAGAGATAAAATATGAAATTATCTGATATAACCATAGTTAACCAGACTTGCCTTAATTAGTGAAATAAAAATGAAAGTTAAAAATGAAGTAATGACACAGATTTTTCGAATCAATGATCTACCAGCCAAGCTATGAAACGTGGGCTGTGACCATATGTAAATTTCACTTCAATAAGCGAAAATTAGCTGTAGTTGTGTTCCCTGAAAGAAATGGTTATTTTCAAAGCTAGCACCATCAAACAGTAGCAAGTCAAAGATCCATGAAGTCATAAAAGGAACTGATTATATTTTGTATTTTAATGTGTGACTCTTCAACAGAGTGTACCTGTGACCTCGTTTAGGATCATATCTAAAATTGTAGGTTTTCATGATTGGCTTCACACATGGATAACGTCTGCGTAGTACTGAGTTGTTTTTTTAAGGAAATCCAGTTTTGGAGCAACTTGAAATAAGTCTTTATTTCAAAGCCTTATCACCTCATTATACAGTCAAATATACCAATGAAGACAATTTTGGTTCTTAAGTGAAGTACTTTTTTGGTGAATCATATGCACAAATCGGCTAGCTGCTCCAAAATGGCATTTATCCCTGGTATCAAGTAAAACAGTGATAAGCACAAAAGTTAATCAGGACAACAACTGGCGCTATTTTACCATCGGGAAAAGTTTAAAACTTTCATAATTAACAAAATATCGCGTCATATGTTTGGCTTGAAATTAGCGAATAACCTTTTTGTTATAATCTTATAAGGCAGCCTTGGTACTAACATCCCATTAATAATGGGATATTTTCTAGAAATATGTAGAAAATGCAGCTGGTAAGTTATCACATTATACTTCAATATCGGGTTTTCGGCTTGTAGAGGTGACATTTATATTGGCGAATACTGCAACAGACTTTAAAAATTTGTGTTCAAAGCTACATGACCTTAAGTATACAATTTGTTGTGTGCCCTGCATAATACATTTTGGCACTAAAGTGTATTACGAATATGTATATATATATATATATATATATATATATATATATATATATATATAGGCGTTTACAGTAATATCATTATATTGCATTAATAGCACATAGAACTTGGGAATGTAAGCTGAACTATTCTGTGATATCTGTCCGCACTCACTCAGCAGTCTGCTTGAACCTTGGGATACGAAACGTTTCCGCCGAACAAATATTATCTTTTCAATTTGTTTTAACGTCTTAACGTATTATGCATTCTTGCACATTTTAAAAAATGTCTTCAGCTCTCCCTTACTCAAGTTAGGGGAGAAATAGTGAAAGATGTCACTCTATATGAAATTTGACTTTTCAGTGCGCAAATGTATATCATATTTCTATCTTTCGGATACTCAGATTGAGTGACAGATTCTTGTACTGGGTGGATAAACCACCACCCCAAAACTTTCGTCTGCTGATTCTTAATTCTAGACTAAACAATAATCAGAAACTAATTGACTGTTTCACAATATTGCCTCGAATACTGTTATTATTCACATCATTCATGTTCAGTAACCATTTCATTTGAAAATATTGTTTTTGGAGTGACCTTGATGAGAAATTACATTCTGAGAGTTCCATACTGTATCGTAGATATTGTTTGGAATAAAGCGACTCATATTATTATTACGGTTATTAATACTATTATTGGAGTCACATGGAAGGAAGAGAAGGTACCTGGCCATTGATTGGAAGAAGGGTTACCTTGTCAAACTGCCGAAGAAGGGAGACCTCAGTGTTTGCAAGAACTGGTGCGGAATCACTCTCCTGTCCACCCCAAGTAAAATATCAAGCCGCATCATCCTGGAGAGGCTTAAAGATGCACTGGATTCAAAACTACGACCGGAACAGGCAGGCTTCAGGAAGTACAAATCATGTGCTGACCAAATTGCAACGCTTCGCATCATCATAGAACAGAGCATAGAATGGCAATCAGCTCTCTACCTCAACTTCATCGACTTTGAGAAGGCCTTTGACAGCGTCGACCGAGAAGTAATTTGGAAACTGCTTCAATACTACGGAGTACCGCAAACCTTTATCCGCCTCATTCAACAACTATATGAAGATGCCACATGCCAAGTAATCCACAATGGGAAGCTCAGTGATGCCTTTGAAGTGAAGACAGGAGTGAAACAAGGTTGCCTACTATCCCCCATGATATTCCTTATTGTGGTGGACTGGATCATGCAGCAAACAGTAGGCAGCGAGAAGAGGGGGATACACTGGACGACGGAAAAGAACCTAGAAGACTTGGATTTCGCCGATGACTTATGCCTAATGTCACATAAACTTGAAGATCTGCAGGCAAAAACTAACAAGTTGACAGAGGAGGCAGCTAAGACGGGACTTCAGGTGAATATAGAGAAGACAGAAGTGATGAAGATACCGCACCACCACCATCAACAACAACAACAAACTCCAATCACCGTCAACGGGAGAAACTTAAAGGAAGTAACCTCCTTCACTTATCTAGGAAGCACTGTTTCAACTACAGGCGGGACGGACGAGGACGTCAAAGTCAGAATCGGAAAAGCAAGACAGGCATTCATTAGCCTGAAACCAGTGTGGAGATCTTCTCCTCTGCACTCAGCATGCGGAACAAGATACGGATTTTCAACACCAACGTCAAGTCAGTGCTCTTGTATGGCTCAGAGACTTGGCGCGTCACGAAAGGCATTTCCAATAAACTACAGACATCCATTAACAACTGCCTGCTCTGGCTCGTTACTGAAGATCAGATGGCCAGAAAGAATAAGAAACAAGGAGCTCTGGTAATGAACCAACCAATGACCTATCAGTCAACAAATATGCAGGAGGAAGTGGAGATGGATTGGGCATGCACTGAGAAGGCAGACTGAGGACATCATGCGTCAGGCCAGTTGCTCGAGTGGAATCCCCATGGGAAGTGACGAGTTGGGTATCCGTAGTGAGGGTGACATGGAGGAGGTCGTGCGAGGAGGAAATGAGAGCTTGTGGGCTGTCGTGGAGCCAGGTTCAAAAGATCTCAGAGAACAGGATGAAATGGAGACGTGCTACTGAAGCCCTATGTTCCACTAGGAACCCAAGGGACTAATAATAATAATAATTGGAGTCACAAGCTTGATTCTTAGATTTCAGAACATAAAGTGAAGTGAAATATTTTCACAATAAGCAAAGCTTAAATTGGTTTTCCTCATTTGGGTTAAGCATTAATGCGTAAGCCGAATGTTATTCAGAAACGATAATATTCGGCTTTAATGAAATTTGTTAGTTAGTAAAACTATAAACATTGAAAACACTCCACTGTATTAAATTT